AGCCGCTTCTCTCTGGAGCCGCCTGGCCCCTCGGTGCTGTGGGGTCGTTGGCTTCTCCCCACATCTTGTGCCAACAGGAGCCTGCGGCTAGAAAGCTTTGGGTGCGCAGGGCAGCCTGTGGGACTGAGCCCCCTTAGCAGGATGGGGAGGGGGGCTGGTGAGCCCTGCCCTGGGAATACAACAAGGGCTTCACAGCTGCCAACTCAGCCCTGATTTCACCCAGCTGCTTGCGCGTCCGCTGCCTCCCCAGTAGAGGCGCTTCCAGTGGCTTTGGGGTGTCTGGGACCGGAGGGGGGGCTTTGCCTTCCAGAGGCAAAGCTCTTCTGCTGGACGTTTCCATCCAGCCCCACCCTCGTAGCGCCCCACCCCCCTGCGGCCGGCCGGTCCCTAGCTGTGCTGGGACTCCAGATGGGTTCGCGAACTAAGGCAAGCAATGGGATCTGATACGCGTCGCCAGCCCTGACAGCTGCTCCGGGGCTCGGCGAGGGGAGCGGGGCTCTCTCGGTCCCACCTGTCGTCTCCAGCAACGGAGGTTCTGCCCCCTGCGTCAGGGCCGCGCTGCTGCCTGCACGGCCCCCACCGCCTTCGATGGATACACCCCTGGATGGGGGCTCTGGGTTTTGCTGCTGGGTGCCCTTGGACAAGATACTTCACTGGCCTGTGCCTCAGTTTCCCCACCTGTGCAGTGGGGCTAATGACACTGACCTTCGTAAAGCTCTTTGAGGTGGATGTTCGGACGGGGAGGGGCAGCATTGTGCCGGGTGCTGTGTAGACCCAGACAGAGATCGGGGGGGTGTGTGCAGGGGGGTTCTGTGGGGTGCAGGGAGAGACAGTCCCCACCCCAAAGAGCTCACAGCTGGAACAAACAAAGTTTGTTCACCTGGCCACCGCCTCCAGGTTGGAGGGTGGGGGGAAGGGGAGCGGGTCTGTGATGGGCTGGGCTGGCAGATGTCTGCTCTTCTGGGCCAGGAATCAGGCACAGGGACCGGGCCCCTCTGGCTCTGGCCGCTGCAAAAAGGTTGGGCCCAGATCCTCCAGGGTGGTTTGGTGCCTAGTTGCCGTTGGTCTGGGTGGAGTTTGGGACCTCGATCCCTTTGCCGGGCTGGGCCCTGGTCCGTGCCCAGGTTTCAGTCCCTGGCGACAGGGCATCGGCCTGGAGTCCTGGGACTGGGGAGGTGCAAAGTCCTGACTTGTGGGGCTGGGTTTGCCCCCTTTGTGGCCTTTCGTCCCTGTCTGTTGTTGTGGGGTGTGTCTGTCCCCCCCTGGTTCTAACCATCTTCCCCTTCCCTTTCAGACCCTCACCTCTCAGAACGGCAGCTCGCCCAGCGGCACTGTGGTATAACCCGGGGAGCGCCCGCCCCCGACTCGGTGCCAGCTTGGCTGCCTGGCACTGCCCAGACTCCGGGCCCTCGTTATTTAACGCTAATTGACACTGTGTGACCAGACGCTTCCCATGGTTGTGAGCCGCTAACAGAGGTTTAATATATAGATCCCCGTCTACAGAGCACAGGCCCCTCCGCTGGCCCGGCCCACCCCCTCCCTTAACGTATTAATAGCCCCCTGTTTAAAGCTTTGTGGAACTTCAGCCCTGGAGTGATGGGAGCAGAGCCGGTCTCCCCAAAGCCCTCACTTTGCACAACAGCCTGGAGCGCTGGAGCTGCGAGCCGCCGGGGCGGGGGGGGGGGTGCTTTCTGCTGCCTCAGTTTCCCCAGAACACTCTGGAGTGGCCAGAAGGGCCCCTACAGGCCGGCACTACCTGCTCTTCCTCTCCCAAGGCACGCCCACCCTGGAGCATACACAGTCCTGGAGACCTGGTACCCTGCCCCCACGTGGCCACAAGCTACCGCCGGCGTCCCTGGCACCACGTGCCGCTCTCCCAGATCCCTTGCGGGCAAGCTGGGCTTTGCCCTGAGCCAGCGCTCGCTCTGGTGGCTGAGGTGAGGGGAGCCTGCCTGTCTGTCTGTCTGTCCTCACCCCGCAGGGCTTCTGCGCCGGCTGCTACTACTGATCCCTGGGCCCCGAGGCGGCAGGGCTGAGTGGAAAGGTGCCCAGAGGGCAGCAGGTTGGCAAATGTTGCCTCCTCCCCTCCGTGTGAGTGACCTCCAAAGAGCTGGAGAAACTCCCAGGCTGCTGTGCCAACACCCTGCGTTGTACCCGCTCTGGGCATCTGCGCTGTGCCGGGGCAGAGCGGGGAGCCGGCCTCCCCACGGGCAAGGGCACTGCCACGCACCTGGGCTCTCACTGGCCTCCCTGGAGCTGGGGGTGCTCAGGGCGCTGCCTGGCTACGACTAGCCCCCTGCCTCTAAAGCCTTGGTCGCGAGCTCCAGCTGGGGTTGCCCGTGTGCTCTGCTGAGCTCCTGTCCCCAGGAACGGCCCCTCTGGGCTCACGTAGAATCGGGGGGGGGGACACGTTGGGTGGGACTCGGCCCCAGCTGCCTGAGTGACAGCCGCTGCCTCCCCCACTGTGGGAAGGTTGGGAGGAGGTGCACCTTTCGCTGGGCCGGGCCTGGGGAACTCCCCACCACTGAAGCAGGTGACCCCCCCCCCCCCCGGGAGCTGAACCAAACACCCTGTGAATCCGTGCGGCTTGGCTTGTCCTCGCCCCTGCTCGCCGTACACCCAGCCTGGGCACTGGGAGAGCCTGGGCAGCACAAAGAACAGTATTAGCTTTGGTGTCCCCCGCCCCATGGCCACTCACCTGTGCCCTCCAGCCCCCTCCCCCACTGGCAGCCCTCTGGGGCTCTGTGCGGGCACTGTGTGGCCCTACTACTGCTGGCCCTGGGGCGCCTGCCCACTGGATGCCCCCCAGCAGCTGATGCCCCTTGTCCCCCCCCCCATGTGGGAGGCAGGGCCCGCAGGGAGTGGGACCCCTCTGCCGCCTGTTCCCCTTGTGGCTGAATGTCTAAGTTATGGAGCTGCGGTTCTGCAAGTTCTTATTTATACTAAAGAAACAATTTTCACAGCACTGCCTCCGCTCTGTCTGCGCCTGCAGCTGTGACTGCGCTGCCCATGGGGCTAGGACAGGGCCAGCCCCAGCTCCTCTCTTGGTACCAAGGCGGGGCCGGCTGGGCCCAGCTGACCACCTGGCTATGTAAAATAATTCCCTTTGTAAGCCAGGTGCCAACCAGGAGCAGGGCCCCTTGGGCTGAATACTAAACAGACACAGTGACCGAGATCAGGGCCCCGTCAGGCCGGGCGCTGCCCAGACACAGTGACCGAGATCAGGGTCCCGTCAGGCCGGGCACTGCCCAGACACAGTGACCGAGATCAGGGCCCCGTCGGGCCGGGCGCTGCCCAGACACACAGTGACCGAGATCAGGGCCCCGTCACGTCGGGTGCTGCCCAGACACACAGTGACCGAGATCAGGGTCCCGTCAAGCCGGGCGCTGCCCAGACACACAGTGACCGAGATCAGGGCCCCGTCAGGCCGGGTGCCACCCAGCCACACAGCAACCGAGACAGGGGCCCCACCGTGCCCAGCGCTGGCTAGACACAAGTGGTAGGAAAATACGTAGGGATCTCTGCCCCGGCCACTGAGATGCAGCCACCTCTGGGGTGGGAGACGGCAGCTGCTGTAACTCACATCGCGACATGACCTGCCGGTGAAAATGAAAGTGAAAATGTCTGGGCGTGTTTGAAGCCATGGGGGCCTTGAGTGGAGCTGGAGTTCGGCCAGGCCCCTGGGTGAAACGGCTTGGTACCGGGCAGCGTCTGGCCTGCCCCCCCGCCCCCCAGTGCTGCCGGTGCCCCTCCCAGCCCAGCCCTGCTGGTGCCCCTCACTCCCAACCTGCAGCCCCTGGCTATCCCAGCTCTGCCGGTGCCCCTCCTGACCCACAGCCCCCTGCCAGCCCAGCCCTGGGCGCCCCACAGCCCCCTGCCAGTCCATTTCTTCCCCAGCATCAGCACCCTGCTCAGGTCTCCCTGCGTGGGGCTGGCAGCGTGGGCCGTCCCAGCTGGGCTGCATTGCGATGGCTGCATCAGGGCCCAGCAGTGCCTGTTGGGGCTCGGTGGGGCAGCTGCTCATGCAGGACGCCCCTGGGCTCCCCCCCACCCTGACCCAGTAGCCTGAGCCAGGCAGGGCGAAGGGTGATGTGACTGGAGTCGGGGGGCGGGGGGGGAGATGGGTGAGTGGCTGCATGTGGGGCAAGGGGGATGGGTGGGTGGGTGCTGGGGGGATGGGAGCATGGGATGGGGGGCTGGTGGGTGGGTGCACGTGGGGGGGATGGATGAGTGGGCGTGCGCAGGGGGGAGGTGAGCGGGTGCCTGGTGGGAGGGTGGCTATTGCAGGTGCATGGGGGGGGGGTATATTGGGGTGGCCGGGCATGGGGGATGGCTCAGTGTGTGCACCTGGCCTGTTCCTCTGTCACTCAGCTCTTGGCTGGTGCCCGCTGCCCATGGGCCTGGCCCTGAGGCCTGTTGCCCACCCCACGCCCCAGCCCTCTGCCTCGCTGTGCATGGGGGGGGGGGCAAGTGCCCCTTGCTGGCCTGTTCCCCACACCCAGGCCCAACCTCCACCAGGCCTCATTTGGCCTGCGGGTAAAGCCCCATCGTCCCCACTCGGGAGCACTGGCTTGGTCGGCCTGCTGGGCTGGGCGTCAGCCCCATTGAGCGTAACCCCCCCAGCAGGGGGCAGAGCTCGGCCCCCGTGGGGTTGGGGCCTCAGGGGCAAGGGCAGCAGCATCGTGCTGAGCCAGGAGGGGGCACCCCTGGGCCAGCCAATGGGCCGCGGAGGAAGCCTGGGCAGCCGCGTCCCCTGGCAGGACGGGCCCTAAGGGGCCTGGTGGCACAGCCGCTCAGGCTGAAGGGCCCTGGGCCGACCCCCCAGCAGGGGCCGTGTGGGGCCCGGATCCCCAGCCTCTCCGCACGTCCACCATGGCAGATCCCTTCAGCCCAGGCGGGGGCGGCCCAGGCTCGGCTCCCCCCAGTTGGTGCTGGGGCAGGCGGCGCTGAGCCCCCCCATGCTCACACACGAGGCTGACACCGGGCTCCCCGCCCCCGGGACGAATTCAACTTTTTTATTTCCTCTCCACAGTTCAAACAAAGCCTCCAGGCCGGGGCCCTCGTCCCGCCTCCGACCCCCGGGCCCGGCTGGCGCCGAGGGCCAATAAATACATGGGGGGCAGCAGGTGGCTATAAATTAACAGGGACAAAGTGCAAAACTGCCCTTTGCGGCTCCGCCGGGATTCCCCCCCCCCAGGGCAAAGGGGATTCGCCCCCTAAGAGCCCCCCCAGGTGTGCACTGGAGAAGGGTGGCTGGGGGGAGCCAGTGGGCTGGGGGTGGGTCAATGCGGGAGGGGAGATGCCAACACTAGAAATAAATTACCATGGTGGAAGGTGGACCAGCAGGTGATGGGTGATTTAGCAGCATAAATTCAGCCTTTAACGGCGGTGCCACCCCTGTGCCCGGGGCTGTCACCCGCTGGGGGTCCCTGGTGCTGAGCGGGGCCCCTCAGACCCAGCGCTCCCCCGACTGCCCGGAGCCCCGCTGAACAGCGCCCGGGGCTGGCGCTGTGGGGGGAGCAGGGCACCCTGGGCAGCAGGCCCCCACCAGCTGTCGCCACCTTGCGGCTCTGTTCGGGCAGGGAAGGGCATCCGTGGGCTGCGTCTCTGCAGGTCCCAGCCGGCCCCTCCGCTGGGCCCCTCCCCTTCCCCATGGAGCTGGGGGGGGGGACACAGCTGGTGCCAAGGACCCAGGATCACCGGGGCAAAGGGAGCTGGGAGCAGTGCCCTGGGGCCTTCGGAGAGCCAGGGTGCTGGGGCAGGGCCGGGGGACTAGGAAACACCAGGCTCCTGGGGGGGAGGGGGAAAGTGTAGCGGGCTGCCCAGCCTGGCACCACCCCCTGGCGCAACCATCACTTCACCCCCCAGGAACTGGGGTCACTTCCAAAGTGACATGCCTCTTAGAACGACCTGGGGTGTAGTGGTTAGAGCAGGGTGGGTGGTAGGAGCCAGGACTCCTGGGTTCTATCCCCAGCTCTGGGAGGGGAGTGGGGTGTAGTGCTTAGAGCGGGGGGGGGCTGGGAGCCAGGACTCCTGGGTTCTATCCCCAGATTTGGGAGGGGAGTGAGGTCTAGTGGTTAGAGTGGGCAGGGGCTCGGAGCCAGGACTTCTTGGTTCTATCCCCAGCTCTGGGAGGGGAGTGGGGTGTAGTGGTTAGAGCAGGGGGATGCTGGAAGACAGGACTCCTGGGTTCTATCCCCAGCTCTGGGAGGGGAGTGGGGTGTAGTGGTTAGAGCAGGGGGATGCTGGAAGACAGGACTCCTGGGTTCTATCCCCAGCTCTGGGAGGGGAGTGGGGTGTAGTGGTTAGAGCAGGGGGATGCTGGAAGACAGGACTCCTCGGTTCTATCCCCAGCTCTGGGAGCAGAGCGGGGTGGAGTAGTTTAAAGAAGCAGAGGCTGGGAGCCAGGACTTCTGGGTTCGTTTGTCAGTTCTGCCCCGACTTGCTGTGCGTCCTTAGGTGACGCTCTTCCTCTCGCTCTGCCTCAGTTTCCCCAGCTGACGAATGGGGCCTTGGGGTGGCTCCGTGGGAGGGAGTGGCGCTGGAGCTGGGCAGGGCAGGGGCAGCCTGCCTCACGCAGAGGGGGCTGGCCGGGGTCCGCAGTAGGGAGGCCAGAGGGCTGGCAGGCAGGAGCAGACGCACCCAGCCAGCAGCCCAGGGCCAGGGCAGGCCCAGGAGGGGACTGGAGAGATGGTCCCCTGATGGCAGCGGGGGGCCGAGCCACACAGCCTGGCTCTGGGTGGGAAGGGACCCGTGGGCCTGGGGTGCTGGCACCCAGGCGTCCCCAACTCTGGTGTGAGACCTCCCGGGGAGGAGGGCTGACAGGCACTCCCGCAGTGCTGGCCGGGCGGTGACGGGGATGGCGGGCGAGGGCAGCGGGGCGAGCACCCGGCCTCGCTCAGGACGGCTCCCCCGGGTCCTGGCCGGGCGCCGCCAGCCCAAAGCCGCCGGTACAAAGGAGCAGGTATCCCGCCTTGGTGATGCAGGGCCTAGGTACCTGCGAGGGAAACGCACCGTCAGCAAGGGCACCCCCTAGCGGGCAGAGGGGGCTCATGGGCCGAGGACTGCTCAGCGGCTGCCCCCCCCGGCTCATTATTCCCACTCCCCACCCCTCTGAGCCAGCCAGTCCATGCCATGGGGCTAGCTGGGAGCTGGCGCCCCCTAGACGGGCCCTCGCCCGCTCCCCACAGTGTGGCACGTTCACTATAAACACCCGCCCCACAGAGGCCGAGCAGGGCTGTCGGCGGGAGCCCCCTGGGTCCTGCTGGCGGGAGGCCTGGGGGGCCCGGATGGAGGGGGGGTCACACTGGAGGGGGCTGGAGCTCATGTGGGAGAAGCATGGGGTGACAGATGGGGTTAGTCGGAGGGGGCAGGAAAGCACCTTAAGCCAAAGGTTAAGCAGGTGGGGACCCAGGGGGCAAGCGGGGGTCAGATTGCAGCTGCCACCAGCACAAGTTGGCTTTAAACCAAACCCCAGCCTGAGCCCCAAAGGTGGAGCCGGGCAGGGTGGGGGCAGGGCAGGCACAGAGAGCTGGGCACAGAGGTGGGCAGGTGAGAAATCAGGCAGGGGGCAGGGCGGGTGAGGAGCCAGGCGGGTGAGCAGCCGGGCGGGGTCAGGGCGGGCGAGGAGCCGGGCGGGGTCAGGGCAGGCGAGGAGCCAGGTGGGCGAGGAGCCGGGCGGGGTCA